CGTACTCCTTAGGTCTACGTGCATGCCAGTGTAAACATGCTGCAGCAAATGTGTTATGAATGCTGCTCTCTTAATATTCTTAAGTATATTAGATTCCTAAGTAAGTTAGGCCTATAAGTGGGTTACTGTTGTGCTTATAGTACATTCTAAATATTCTTTTGTTAAATTGTTTAAATTTGGCTATCAATTAAGTTCTGTTAAGTTCAAGTGCTGTTAAAATCTTTAGCCTTAAACTGTTGGTCAAGGCTGGGGTAAAGTTTGGCAAGACTCTGCACTCTGAACCTTGTGACTTGATGGGAGAAACTCCCTTATTCCTTTTTCTCCTTATGCTTTCCTAACCTTACCCTTTTTCCACTCCCAGACTCCACACAGATCATTTTATATTGATTTTATTTTTACACTGATTGGTTTTAGATTTTAGTCTGTTTTTTTTTCTGTGTACTGTAACCACCCAGTAAGAAGTAGAGCAAATCTTGCCAATGAACTTAGCCACACTTTCACTTTTATACTAAACCTCCATTTGCCAACACCTTTGCTGATGACTATTTGAGCACCTAAGCCACTCATTCGTGACAAAATCACAATACAAATGTGAGGTCACACTTAGCAAAATACAGAAACTGCAACATAGATTTCAGTCACAATACCTATGTGACCTCCACTGCCCTCTCTGTAATATGATCACCATCATGATGCTGGATGTCCCCAGTCACTGCAAAGAAGTATGTGGGGTGAAGCAGCTCAAGTCCATCACCCTTGTTGGAATTCTTCAGTTGGTTGTTCAGTTTTTATACTCTCTGTTGGGCTGAGCCTTGTATAACCCCACTCGTTCTGTGTCCCTAACTCAAAGAACCGTTCTCTTTCAGTGAGCTCAGGGAGAAATATTTACACAACAAACTGTCAGTGTAATCTGTGGATCCACCCAAATGTTGATAGCTGCTTGTCTAAAACTAAGGCCACCCTCCAGTCCCCTTTGTGTTGAGATACATTGGCTTTGTTTGCAACAGCTTGTGGTGAGTCACATCCTACTTTTCTCCCCAAGCTTCAGGGGCGCATCACCCTTGCCCATCTCCTCTGAGCCTTTCCCCTTTGTGGAGTTTTATTGGTCAGTCATACAGGAGTACCATATACCTTTAGTCCAGAATAAAAATGTGGTAAATGTAGGAAATCAAGTTGGGCAGTATCAGTATAACAAACAAGTTTCTCTTTTGTCAGCCAGGTATATCTGTGCACATCACCATGATCGTAATGAAAAAATATGACATAATTACACTGAGATGCCAATTAGACTGAGATGATTTTTTATTTGATATGGTATTTAGCTGAGGGAACTACATTTTCAGTATTTGTCAGTTTAAGAACATTTCAGGCTGAAACTGTAGGCTGCAGACTGATCAGAACATACAGTGCAGACATATTTTTAGATAGAGTACTCTCAAATAAACACCAACTAGTGTCATGAGCACCAGAATTAACCAGTTTTTGTTATGCCTCTGTGTCTTGTTGGTGGATTCCGAGGTCTATAAGAAAGTGCACCTTGCACTGACTTTACCTGTGCTTGCACATTAATACCCTTTCTTTCACATCTGGATTTTTTGGGTGTTTGCCATTTGGATTATTGGCTTTTTTTTAGGGGGTGAGACACAAACTAAAGTAGGAGACATCAACTGTTACCCAACTTGATGTTCTCATAGCCATCAGATAATCCATCTTATGCAGAGCTGGCAGACAAAACAATTTATAGGAGGAAGCTGAAGTGGAGTGGACATAATGGACATAAACACAAGTGTTATATTGAATGGGATGTCAGAGAGCCTGAGAAATGAGTGATAAGCACTACATATGTTTAAGGAGGAAGTGTCATTCTCCACACGTGCTGTAGTAGAGTCTTGTTGCTGCTGGTTTTATTAAAACTTTCTGTTATGTCATTGAAATGGGGAGGAATTTTCTATACATGCTGCTCAGGAGTGGGGAAAGCAACAGCTGCAAGTATTTGGATGAGTTTCTGTGCACAGATTTTGAAGAATCTGTCTTCTCATACGAGCACAGATTTCTGGCAGCAGCAGTTACAGGCATCACTAGTAGCAGCAGCAAAAACATACTAAGCGAAGAATACACAGCTGAATTTTTATTTACCTCATCATGTATGTGTTATTAATTCAGCCGCAGGCACAAAAAAATAAGTAATTGAAGGGTATGAAATTTTGCTGATAAATTCTGCAGAGAATGCTAAGACTGGTAGCACTATTAAAATACTATCTCCAGTTCTACTCTCTTCATTTCAAGAAAGGTATGAGTATATAAAAGAAAATTTACAAAAGAGCTGACCTTTCCAGTGACTGGTTTAAATAATCTCTGGGGAAAATTCTACCCAACATTTGGGCAGCCAGGTACAGTGGCTGTTGTCTGAAGTCTAACCTATGAATCTCTAACTTCTGAATGCTCCTGCATAAACCCAACTTCCTTGAAACCTGGAGACGAACCTGCCTTGCCTTCAGTCTGCCCAGAACTCCAGCAGCTCTGCATTAAGTCAGCTCTGCTGACTATTATCAAAGTCAGCTTGGCCTGTCTTACCTTAACTCCACAGAACTCTGAGGCAGATAACTGCAGCAGATTTGCCCAAACAGCTTATTTTCCTGAGGAGTTGCCAAAACATGTCTATTGCTCTTTCAAAAGCCTCTGAAGATCAATAAAACCACTTACTAAGTTGATGCCTTCGCATATTTTCCCTGGAATTGGCAGAGCAAAGGGTCTAAACTTGTGGCACTACATTCAGCTCTGACACCAGTCAGTATCTTTATGCAAATATTTCTAATGGAGGACAGTACTGAAAAATCTTGCAGAAAGAAATTTGATATGTAGTTGTAGAAGTCACAGAAGACTCATCATTTGGCTCCCAGGGGTGGACAGGTGAGAAATCTCTTATTAATTTGCACTAATTTGTCACCCTCTTGTACACAGAGACTAGAACTGTGTGCCCAAAACAGTGTTGATTGATAGATTCCCACATAATACCCAGGTAGTTGATTAATGTGGCTGTTTAGCCATAATCTTTGGGTGTGAAAAGCTGTGGCTGCTGTCATGGAATCACAGAAATTCTAATTATGATCCAGGGCAGAGAACCTGGTGTTGCATTCAAACAAATAATTTTGAATTGCAAAGATTCATTAGTGTTTAAAAGTCTCTTATATGGCTTTTCCAGTCTTTCCTTCTTTTCCAATACGCAAGAACAAAGCATCCTTACCTCTTGTCTAAGAAACATTTCCTTTTACAGTGATATAAAGATAGAAAGCCCAAGGACACAGGAGAATTTTTTTCCTCCTCCAGTCCTTAAGGTCTATCAAAAGCCAGAACAGTCAATGAACAAGCACCTACTGAGAACTGTGGCTAACTTGAAAGCCCAGGACAGGAAAAAAGAGAGTTTTAAGACTTTTTTCCTAACTTTTTTACAATCAATGTAATACCTTTTTGCTGAAGCGTGCAAGTTTGTCGCCTTTCACCAAAGATTGGTCACATTTTAAACCGCAGTAAATGCTGCCATCTAATGGTACCTGATCACTGAACAAAAGCTGCCGGCTCAGTCCAGCTCTCAAAGAACAAAATAAAGAGTTTCACCTCACAAGCATCACTCTGCATGAAACAACACAAGCTGGACAGGAGCTGGTCTCAAGCAGAGCCACCAAATATCTCTGCAACCCCTCTGCCCAGTGTGGCAGCTCCCAAGGGCAAATTTCTGAGTTATCCTAAGAGGTCTGCAAACCTTCTTCATCAGCCTTTTTTTTCTCAACTGCAGCTGGTTCTGGAAGTAATCATAGAATCATTAAGGTTGGAAAAGACCTCCAAGATCATCAAGTCCAACCTTTAATCAAACACCACCATGCCCACTAAGCCACAGTACTAAGTGCCACATCCACTCGTTTTTGGAACATTTCCAGAGATGGTGATTCCACAAGTTCCCTGGGGAGCCAAAGTTCAACCATAATAAAGCCCATTCAAACCATACTGTATCAGAACTCTTAAACTCTTAGCTTTCCTGTGTCTTTATTTGTTCTGAAATTAACTTAGATTTAACAATATCTGTCATGTTTAATAGTATTTAACACAGGAAGTGATTATTACCTTATTGTTCCTGCTATTCTTGGCCTCAAAATGTTAAATCTTTTCTGATTCTTCGTAAAAAGTGAAACATTTTCGTTTTTGTTGTTCTAATAGGTAGCTACTTTTGGAAAATTATATTACTTTGGTTCTACCCCTTTAAGAACAGATTATTTCTTGTAACAAATGCAACTGGATACTCCTTACAAAACAGACAAAACCGTGTTAAGCATCTGAGCTCTTTATTGAAGAATCTAAACCAGTTGTATTGTATTAGTGATTCTGAATCCACCACAACGCTTCATCTGAACAACCTAAACTGCAAAAGAAATCAGTAAAACATTAATACTCATTGTTCATATTTTCTTTTTCAGAATCAATCAAATAAATGCTTCCCCTAGCTTTTATTAAATGTTGCCTCATATCACTAAGATTACTAAGTAATGTTTTCTATGACATTTAGATGAAGATGAAATTTTATGTACAATGATTTTCAAGATTTTCCGGAAGCAATACCCCTTGTATAACATCCTTTGATTTTGGTAACTATGATTATGACAATTTTCATACACTGAATGATACAAAGAACAAATTATATAGAACTTTCAAGCACAGGTAACTGAGGATGATCTGTTAAGTCCATTTAGGTGCATATATAAGGCACATCCAAAATTCTTAAGCATAAGCAAATCCACCCAAACATGCTAGGAGGAGGATGGTCCCAAAACCATCAAAGTCAGAGGCTGATTATACTCGTGTCCTGAATGAGCTCTATTACAGAAGTGCAGTAATTATTTCATTTTGCTACAATAAAGCCTAGTTGGAAACACTGGTTATCTCTAAAGAGATTTACATTATTCTAGAGCCTTGTGTGTTTATAAATCTGTGCNTTTCATTTTGCTACAATAAAGCCTAGTTGGAAACACTGGTTATCTCTAAAGAGATTTACATTATTCTAGAGCCTTGTGTGTTTATAAATCTGTGCTTACAACTGACCTTTTATGGATTTCTTCCGTAAACACATGAACTAGGACAAAACTGGCAGGTGAAAAAATTAACTCCAGTAGCGGATAAAAAAGTTCTATGGTTTGATTTTCCTCCAATATTTATGACATAGTTGTTCAGATCTTAATCATTTTAAGGAGAATTTGCAAATGTGAACAATCACAATGCTTGAAGGCTGCCATCATTATTCTAAATTTAGAGTATTATACTCTGGGATTCACATATTGTCTCCATCTGAAAATCAGTGACTTTGCTTTAAATGTCAAAAATGCTGCGGCCTAGATAATCTTATGTGTCCAGCTTATTTGTGTCAGCAACAGCATCATAAAGTCAAGGGAGAGATATGGAAGAAACAGGCCGTGATTTATGTGTCTTCCTGCCACTACTTTCATTAAGCACTGATACAATAAGCCTTTGCTTCTCCCGTGTTTCTTCTCCAAAGACAGCACTGGTCTGCCTGTGATGGCTTAAGAAAGATGTATTTTTGAAAGAACGCTGTATCAAATACCTCCTGAAGGCCCTTTGGATAATAACTGCTGATACCTCCTCTTGTTTTCTCTTAAATGTAGAAGAAATTGGCCTGTGAGAACTTTTAGATGGACTGGCAACCACTGTTTTTTCCTCCATGAATAATTCAAGACTATCCAAATCTCCAAATTCTCCCAAGACCCTTTTAGTGAAAGCACGCAAGATATCCAAGTGGTGGATCTTATCTCCAGTCACTAGAGGGAGGTCCATGGATATGAGCTGGATGCTATTGGGCTTTGGAATGCGCAAGGGTTCTGCCAGAGCATCTGCAAAGTCTGAAAGAGCAGAATAGTCAATAAACTGTGTTGCCAGAGGATCAAATTTTCCCCAGGTCTCATAAAACATATCAAAGTCATCCTCACAAAGAGGATCTGTGCTTTCTTCGGTGGCAACATTGAAGTTCTCTAAAATGACAGCTATGTACATATTTACAACAATGAGAAAAGATATAATGACATAGCTTACAAAATAAAAAATACCAAATGGTCTATTTGTGCAACTAATTTTATCTTTCTCTTTTAAAACTAAGTTGGGAGCACATGTACCAGATTCACTTAACAAAGGGGCCAGAAGAGTATCCCAGCCAGCTGATGTTGTAATTTGGAAGAGACAGAGAATGCTACCAGTGAAGGTCTGAAAGTTGAAAATGTTATCAATCCCACCTTCCCAGGGAAGACAGGCAAAGTTTGCCATGCCCACAATGGCATAAATAAATGTAATTAGGAAAAGCAAAAGGCCAACGTTGACCAGTGCAGGAAGAGACATCAGTAATGCAAAGAGAAGGGTTCGAATTCCTCTCGCTTTTCGAACCAATCTCAGGATTCGGCCAATTCGCACCAAACGAATAGTTCTCAAAAGTGTAGGAGAGACGAATTTTTGAAAGGCTTCAGAAACTCCAATACCTTTGAAGGGAGAAAGAAAACAAAATGTTGTCAAGGCATATTAGTCAAATTGTTGTCTGCTTTGTTATATTCTGTGCTTTAGGTGTCAGAAGTAACACTGACCATATTACACCACTTTCCACACAAACATCATCAATACTGAAACTGCTTACAAAACAGCTTAAGAAAGGAAAGACAAATCATAATACCTTACAATA